CTGTGCTGTATGCTTTTGATTCACTAAAAAAACATTCTAAATTCTATATTTTGTAAATGATTCTGAAAATAATTCGAGAATCCTATTGTTCTTTTCAACAGAATGATAATTCATATAATAATTCACAGAAGGTAAACAATATTTAATATTATAAGTTTCATATGCAAGTCTAAAACCTAAAATAAGTTTCAACTTCAAAAACTTTTGCCAGTCTCAAGTTTGATTAACATGATGAGGTAAAAATAAACTTTGCTCAAAGCAAAAACAAGTGAAATTCACATTACAGTTTCTGGTCATTAATTTTTCCCACCTCTCTCTTCTATGCTAACAGCTGTGTGAATGAATTTATCAGTGCATGAGCTATAAAAACAGGAGACTTGAGACTAAAACTGCTAGTTCTGTGCTATAATTTCAGATTTCACATGACAGCGCTGCAAAACATTCTACCTCCATATGAAAAATTAATTTCATTCTTCAGCCCGTACTGCACCAGACATCCCTCTTTTCATTTCCTGTGCTGATGGAAACTGCACCCTCTGAATTGAATTCACCCGATAGTTGATCTCTTTCTTTCTTCCTCAGATACTGTCGGTTCCTCACCGTAGGCTGGTGTGCTGCAGTCGACTCTATGAGGTCACCGATGTGAATAAACCTCAGAAACAGGCCTCACATCAGAGGGAGGTGTTCCTCTTCAATGACCTGATAGTGGTGAGAGACACACGTCTTCATACATGAAAACATATTCAAACGGGTACACACAAACAACTGAAAATAAAAAATGATTTTTGTTTTGTGATGTTAGATCCTCAAACTATGCCCTAAGAAGAAGAGTGCTGCCACATACACGTTCTGCAAGGCCATGGGCTTACTGGGAATGCAGTTTCATCTGTTTGAGAATGAGTGTAAGAATACAAACACAAAAATATTTATATTTTACTATATTGATAAATATGGTATAGAATGTAGTATAGTTAAAGTTAAGAGTTTTCAACTGCATGACTGTGAAATTACTACAGGGGGTCCATGGACTGACAAGTAAAAAACATTTTCTAAATGTGGGTAATCTGTTAATAATCATAAATAATATGACTAATAAATAAACATTTCACCTTATATCTGGTTGCTTCTGAAGAGTGTAAGTCCAATATTAAAATATGAATATTTTTCAATTTGTTAGTTTTTAAACCCAAGTTTAGATGTATACATGTTTCTTTTTTAAAATATAAAAACAAGAATATTTAATAATAATATCCATAATGCCTTCCAAAAAGGCAAAGTGTGGTTTTTGATAATATCGGCATAAATCAAAAGCAAAAATTCAAATTCAAAGCAAAGAAAAATATTAAAGCTATTTATATAGCATCTCCAAACTGTTCTGATTCGTCTGTTTCTCCGTCAATCAATCAGTGAATAATAATTAGTGAATAGATTATTATTCTGCAATCTTCAAAAAAGAAATGTCTGACTGTGAAGTGCATATGCTTCCATTATTATTCAATCAAAAAGAAAATCATTATTATCTTTAAAGGTAATTGTAATATAATGCATTTCAACAATCTATTTTTTGAGAATCTATTTTTTAAATAATAAAAAGCAGAACCTTACAGAGCAGATCTCAGTGCTTGCATTGTCATGCATACAGTGTGTGTTTTCTGTCACAGATTACCCTCATGGAATCACGATATTGTCTCCGTTCTCGTCAGAGAAGAAGCAGGTGGTGAGTTTCTGTTCTCAGAGCGCCGAGGAGCTGCTCAAGTTTGTAGAGGACCTGAGAGAGAGCATCGCAGAGGTGGCAGAGATGGAACAAATACGGATTGACTGTGAGTGTCTTTGCCTGTAACTGTGAGATCAATTACTCCTGTTCAAACGCTTTAGGATATTGATAGTCACCTTTATAAAAAAATTATAAATTGAATAAAAAAAAA